TATTTAAGTGTAACCCTTTAATTTCAAAATGCATTCAGACTCAAAACTAGAGTGCCCTGTGAAAGTTGTGAATAATTTAGTTCAAAGTAGCTGTGAATCAAGGACAAGCTCTGGAATCAAAAGACTGAGATCCAGTCCCTCTGGTTTTTTGGGCTCTATGACTCGATGCGGGGACTGAACGTTCCTGATCTTCAATCAACTTATCTATGAAATGAGGAATAACGGTAGTATGTGGCTTATCTACTCCAGTTGTACTGTTTTGAGAGCCAAGTGGGATAATATATATATATATATATGTACATATATAACATCAGACAATGTTTAGTGTGCTACAAATATCCCTTATAATAAATATTACTTATCATCATCCACCAGTGCACTTGAATGCCGTATTGGTCTCTGGACAAAACGAACTCTGTAGACCAGGGGTCAGCAAACTGTAGCCCGCAGGCCAAATCTAGTCTGTGAGCTAAAAAGGAGTTTCACATTTTTAGATGGTTGAAAAAAATGAAAACAAGAATAATATTTCATGACACACCTGCAAAGCCTACACTATTTACTATCTGGATCTTTACAGAAAAAGTTTGCCAACCCCTAGCTCTAAGAGTTTAATGTAGTTTCTTTTAGCATTGAGCCTTGAAACAGGTAGGAAGTATTCACTGCACAATTCCAGGGAGCAGGAAGAGCACCTTCTTAACAGCAGGCCCAGGTGTGCCTCCCTGGCCTGATGACTCCCTCGAGTCCCGGGCTAAGAGCTACCTATTCTAGCCTGCTGGCCTCTCTGAAACCCAGATTAGCCTGTAATCTCTGTGTCACCAAGGTCAGTGTCTCTCTTGTTCACCTCTTTATTTTTGGCACCTGTCACATGGGAGAGATTTCCAAAGTATTTGTTGAATGAATGAATGAATGAATTCAACTATTCATCCATTTGCTCTCCAAGGCCCAGCTCCAACCCTTGCTCTTCCATGAAACCTTTAGAAACCACTGCAACCCAGATGTCTCTCTCATGTCCTGGAGTCTCGCGCCCTCCTGGATCCAAGGGAGGAAATGCAGGGTTTCAGATACTCCTGAACTATCGCCTGGACTCTTTATTAACAATTGTCCAGTTGACTCATTTGCTATATATTTATACTCTGGTTCTTCCAGTTAGCTAGTAAAGCTGCCTGAGTGTCAGACCCACCATGACTCCCAGCCTCCACATCTGGCTTCCTCCTCAAAACCCCCGCAGGCAAATCCATATGCACTTGCAGCAAAATATGTTAAGCTGCTCCAACCCCAGCATCTATGACTCAACATGGAGACATTTTGCTGCTCGTCTGCCCTGGACCTCAGCCTCTGATCTGAGTTCTGGCCCACTATCTTGGACCGTAGGTCCCACCTTCACCCCTGTCTTCAGTACTGGCTTTCAGCTTTATTCCTTTGTTTCTGGGCCCCAATAATGGTCCTTTGAGAAGGGACCTTGCTCTTGCCTTGCCCCTCCATAAAGAGTGGAGTCCCATCTCTCATGCCCATCCTGAGGCCTGGGCTACACGATCTGTACCCACTTGCTTTCGATGCTGACAGTCTCCTGCCTGCTGGACCTTCCAGGAATGCGCTCTCAGACTCCCATTGTTCGACCGTTCATCTTGGACCATGTTTACAATTATTTGCCGGTGCTGTAACCTCCAGGATATCATGGTTTATCTTCTGGCCTACCCCAACCTCTGGTATGCTACCAGGCCAAATTAGGCCAAGGTCTGAGATAGAAGATTTGGAAGACAGTCTGTGACTTGCCCTTCTTTTTTATCTACAGGATGCCTGTGTGTGCTTGAACCACTATAAGCTTACCATGGGAGCTCAGTAAAGGTCCATGGATGAGTCCAGCATAACAAATAACAATCAAAGATGGCCACGCATAAGCTGTCATATCTAAGTTTCTCGTGTTTCAAACTCTGTGGTTCTCACTCCATCATACCCAACATCCCCTTATTATAACAAATATTTCATAGTCCCCCTTCACTATTCTAAAACAAAATTCATAGGACATATATATATATATAACATACAGTATATTACGTAGACACATATATAAAACACCAATATAATGCCCTAAATATAGAGAAGAAACTAAAGGAAAGTAATTCATAATAAAAATAATATGTATTTAAACATATACACATGGAAGGTGTGAAAAGGTAACCAAATGATTACATCTACATGTGGAATGACAGCCTCGAACGCCACTCAAATAGAGCAGCATTGCTGCCAGCAATATGATTTTCTCCGTGTCCAATTCTTGGCAAAGTTCTGAACAAAACAAAATATAATCTTCCCTTAATATACATGGTAGTTGTAAATTCATGGAAAATTTAGTGTGTATTAAAACTGAGCAGCAAAATATATAAATTGGAGCTCGGTTTTAGGCTTAGATAATTATAAACAGGTTTACCTACATGAATGCCTGGCAGGACATTCAAAAGGCATGTGGATGCGGCACAATTCTTCATTGTGGAGGACTATCCTGTGAACAGAGGATGTCCTGCCTCCCTGGCTCCCACTCAGTTTTGTGATGTCAGAAAAACGCTGCCAGAAATTCCCAAAGCACTCTGTAGGGGGCAGTATTACCTCCATTGAGAACTATTGGTCTAACCACTTATTGAAAACAGTCCCGCACTCAGACGGCCTCTCAGGCAGAACATCATTCTGACCTTGAAACCCCCAAGCAAAGGGTTTGACTAAGTGCCTGTCTTGAAGGTGTTGGCACACCCTAGATCCAAGGGCCGAGGCTGAAGGAAGCCAAAGGTCTCAGCACTACCCCAATGTGGAGTCTGTTATGTACAAGGTTACAAGAAGAGCTTTAGGTGCACAGTGGAAATACTGAGAGTTCCCTCTGGCCAATTAATCAGCATTTCCTTACTTCACTTACTCTCTGCATCACATACTCATTTTGCTCTTTAAAACCACTGAATTTAAGGGTTGACAGTAAATCTCTCCCTCCACGTGGAGCACTTAGGCTCATCTCGAACGCTTCCTTTTCTAGTCTCCCAGACCACCCTTTCCTCTCTATCCCTCTGTCGTGTCCCCTAATGCCCAAGACAAAGCTCCTGACTCTATCCCTCTTTCCCTAACCTTAAATCGCTAGTCCTACCTCCCAAATGGCCTTCCTGCCACAGTCTCTCCCAGCTCCGGTCCTTGCTGTGTTTCTACCTGCTCTGTGTAGGCCCAGACCATTTTCCAATCGCCCTCATCTGGTTCACTCTGGGAAGGAACCTTGAATGGTCTTCAGGGGCCCACCTTCTCTGATTTCCATTGCAACTTGACGTCTCCATATGCATTCCTACACCTTTTGCTCTTCGACGTCCACTTTGTTTCAGTAAAGTGGGACCTCAGTTCACGTGGCATTGTATTCCATCCTCTGGGACTTTTGCTTTCTACCTGGAATGACTTCTCTCCTTCCTTTCACCTATTAAATTCTAACGGTCCTTCAGAACCAGCTTAAATATCACCTCCTCCAACAAGCCTTCCTAAATTCTCTCTCCCTCTAGGTTCTTGCACGATTTTCATAGTGAGTCTCTTTTTCTTCAACCTTGAAGACAAAGGTCCTTTGGGGATTCTTTTATGTCCCTGATGGCATCTAGGAACTTGTCACAGTGGCATAACTGTCCAACACATTCTTTGTGGTTTTATGAACTCAAAAGAAAGGGAAGTGATCAATTGATCCCATACTCGAAATATTTGGGGAGGAGGTCCTTAGCCTCTCCTTCAGAATCACTTCCTTTCTCCTCAACTGAAGGAAAATTCCCTCAGGAAACCAGCCCACCCAGAGGAGTGTGCGCCCCTCTTTCAGTTGCAACATTAGTGCTTTGGAAGTAGAGATATAACTTCACAGTGGCTCTGAAAACATTAACTAAGACAATAATAAATTAACACAATAGTTAACTAATAGCACCGTGATGCTTTCATGTATGAATTGGAATGTGAACACTGAGATTTTCATTTCATGGTTGAAAAATACATGAGTTGACCCAAATACTAATTTCTGCATTTCCGTCATTTACATATCATGGGTCAGTAATCATTTCTTGCCTAAATGGCTTTCCAAATGAAGAGCTGTAATATTGTAATGGTTTATCATATTTACAAACATCGCATTGTGCTACCCACTTGGTGCTTTGGATTTGCAGACAAGCAGAGCCCATTCTCTGGGAAGGCAGGAGCCATACCTGGGAGGAGGGAGTGAGTTCCCCCAGGAGAGACCCATTTGTTTCATCCTCCCTAACGTTCGTGAGTCCAGGAACTTCTACTCCGCTGGGACATCTTCCAGCCACCTCATTTCTCCAGCGTGGCGGTTAGTCAGCAGTGGCCAGGGATGGGCTCTCCTGGGCTTCACTGATTGCTCTCCTCTCCGGGGCCGAAAAATCTAGCTGCTTTGAAAATGTCTCCTTGGGAGGCTGGAACTGCTGAGAGCGCCGAATGTGATATTTGGGAAGGGTAATGCAACCTGATGTTTTTTATTACAGTTCGGAACCACATCAAGTGATATGTCTAAGGTGATTTTTTCCCTCATTTTAATGCTGGGATAATACAAATCAGTACATGACTTAACTGGTCTTTCATTTAAACCCTATCCTTGCCGCTAGACTTCTTCACAGTGTCCTGAGTTACCTGCTCCATTAGGGATCTTGTGCTTGTCGTTGGGCACTAGTCTCTTAGAAATCTGTTTTCTTTAAAGGATAGCAGAGTTAGAGCCACACATGAAACAAATTGCTGGTACTGGATAACAATTACATCCTGCCCCAACAGGCTTTGTTTACACGTCTGCTTGCTCTTTAATGATAAGTTGGGGTTAAATGTCAGCAGCAAGCATTTGTGGGGACAGTCACCCCTTCTTCACACACACACACACACACACACACAGACACACACATACTCAGCACGAGGGGTTCTTTAACCAACACCTCCTTTGTCGGGCTTCCGTTGCTCCTACTTTGGCACAAACACTTAAAAGGAAACTAAAGAAAAAGCATTGAGGTCATTTATTAGATTCTCCTGTGAATTTGGTTTCAGGACTAGAAAGCAGAGCAGTGGTTGCATGATTGATGAAATCTCTCCCGCAGCTGCTTTTCCTTATTTTTAGGGTGATGTACAAGAAGCGAGTTAGCTGAGAGTTGACTGGTCGCATTTCACACCGTCGCCTGTGAGTCCTAGAATGGAGGGCATAAAAACAATAATGTGGACAGAGAGGTGGTGGGGAGGGATTCAGCTGTTAATGGAAATTTTTCCTTCAGACCCTCTGGAAAAAAATGTTACCTTTTAGAGGATGGATCTCTCCATTTTATTTCCTCCCTGGCCCCTATGTTTTAAAAAGGTTAAGGCTGTGTGTGTGTGTGCATGTGTGTGTGTTTTGAGGGGAGCAAGCAGAAAGGAAGGGGAGAGAGAGATGATCGTTATCAGCCCAGGTCCTTCTCTAGCTGGCTGCAGCTCTGTTTATGAAATGCCACAACAAAAGTGAGCTCACGCCTGTGTGCTTCCATCGTGCAAGGTTCCTGGGTGCCAGATGGGCACTTCGTGACTGTATGAGCGTGGATTATTTCATCTCCTACATCTGGGACTCCAAATGGCTGCCCGGAATGCCACGGGAGACAGGCACCGCTTCTCAGCTGGGGGAACCTACCTTCACTGGGATCCCAGTGGAGCAGAGCAGACGAGGCCAGCAGTTCCCCAGCAAAAGCTGTGAGTTCACACACCCCAGGGCAATAGGAAACTTGTAGAACCCAGAACAAGATGGAAATAAACAAGAACCTATAATGTATGTCAGCTGCAGTTTAAAAACAAATGGATGAAGGAAGGAACAAATGAAAACAAACCATAAGTACTTTCCTGTCTGGCTTTGGAAGATATTTGAGGAATAATGTTTTGTGTTTCAGCTTTGAAATTCTGTTGTGACCTTTCAGTCACTCACTTCTCAATATCGCCCATGGTACAGATAAGTGAACTGAAATGGTCTGAGGAATGCCAGCATAGACCACAGCCTCCTGGCCTCTTTATCACTTTATTTCAATTAATGGGATGGGGTGTATTGGTGTAAATAGTAGCAATAGTTTACTTTTCCCAAGTACTGTACCAAAATTGAGAGTTCCCAAAGACAGCATACTTAATGCTGTTCAGATGAATCCAATGGACAGAGCAGCCATCCAAAAAGCAAGTTCTTCCTGTTTTCAGGTGTATTGCTGAAACTCATCACCCTCACTTCCATTCCCCTGCCCTTAAAATAGTTACCCAAATCACTCAATTTGTCCTGCAGGGAAAAAAAAAACATTTTACAAGAAAATATGACTTAACATTTAAAAAAATCTGACAGGTGACTTAACTGTTTTGCATAAGATATTTACAAACCGCAGCAGATTAAAGGGGGGTTTTATGCATTTTCACATCCTGCTTGGTTTAAAGCAGCAATTTTCTGCAAGGACAACAGAGAAAAAAAAATCATGCTTTACACTGCTTATATTAATTACATTTTTTCATTACCCGTCATGTTTTCTGCAGGCTTGTGTATTATTACTGCAAAATGTAATGAAATAGAAAAGGAAAAAAGAATGGACTTCTGGGAAATTTTCCAATTCTTGAAATGCAATGTTAATTGAGAGCTATTTTTAGGGCTGCACAGATAGTGGAGGACCCATGCCATCAGTACAAATGGGTCCAGTCCAGGTGCAGCTTCCCCGGTGACAGCCCAGGTCTCTGCTGCTGGAGAGCTTGAAAACCTCCATCTTGCTTGGTGCCAAGTCTACTGAAGGGCATGGAAGGATTTCTACAGATGAGCTACCCACAAAGGTAACAAGAGAAAAGTGAGGGGAGATGAAGGTAGGGCCCCAGAGAGCTCAGGCCACAACAGAGTTTGGTAACAACTCCCAGCCTCATCCTCAACCCCTACTCCATCGGAGGGAAAAAAATGCTGTCAGTACTTAGGAAAATGGTGCCACATAATGAAATGTTTTCCAAGCCCCTTAAAATGAAGAATCCAAAAGGTGCCCCCTGGTTGGTGACAAACAAGACCCTTTACCAGGAACCTTCTGCCCCTGCTGGAGAATTACAAGTTCTTAGTCTTGGCTATGTCCTGCCAAGGACTTGAGGGAAGTTGTCTGGGAACCAGGAACTTGATGGATTGGAGAAATATTGTTTTTTTCATTGTCAAACTAAATAGACGATAGAACTAACTTCTTGTTTGATTAGCATATGTGACCCTCAAATCCATTGATGCCCTATTACCTCTGTGTCCCCACATCCCACTTCCAGACATAGTGTTGGAAGCAACCTTGTGAATGAGGGAAAACACACAGCAAACACGTTTACAGGGGCCAAGTGTTCTTTCAAGGAAGGTCTCGGAATGGCATCAAGAAATTCAGAAACACTGGGCTCCTCTGAAATCTCCCCAACATAGCATAAAGCATGTGAGTTTCTCTGAGTATCCTCGCCACGCCCTAAACATTAAACTCTTGCAAATGCATTCTATAAAAAAATTTTAAACAACTGCAAAAACCCCTAAATTCCTATAATTCCCACTGTTGCTTCCACTTTCACAAAGTAAACACAAATGTCCACAAAAGTCACCAGGCCAAAACTTGCTTTAGGCTATCAGACTTAGAAATCCAATTATGAGCCACATTTCACCCAGTTATGAGCAGCAGAAAAGAGCAAAGGGAAATGCTTTCTGTCCAATAATCTTCCCTGAGCTGAGGCAGGTGCCCTGCTTGCCTATCCCAGCTGCTCTGGGCTGTGCTCCCAGGTCTCAGTCGGGGCCGTGGGCTCACTCTGAAGTCAGCATAGTGCCACTACTCTACTGCCGTGTTGTCATCAGATGAAGTTGGCTGTCTGCCCTGAGACTATTGCTTTAGCCCTGATTGACACATTCTTTGGGGCAAAGTATGTAATAGAAAGAGAAATTCCAACATTCTAGGACTTTCTTCCAATAGCAAAGTCAATCACAAGAGCAACTGGTAAAATCGGTGGTGCATGGATTGTGAAGGCAAAATGGAAATGGTGCATGAGAACCAAAAGTGCATAGCTAGGTAGAGAAAAACATGAGTTTCTGTTTCCCATTGCCTGGATTCAAGTTGAGAAGATTAGCCCAGATGGATCCTGTCTAGCCTGGCCCATATTCAGTAGCATTCAAGGCTGGGCTAATTGGTTGGTAAATATTTCTGTTTTACGTCTCCTACTCATCACAGTGATGACAATAGGCAATCTTCTAAGCAGCCCCTGGTTTGCTCCAAGCCACTCTCCTTCTTAATTATCAGCTTCTCCAGACTTTGCTTCTTTGGACTTCTGTGGTTATTTTAATTGATGGAGAATCTCATTTGTATGTCGTTAATATATAGAACACTGCCCTGAAAAATGCAGTCCATTCTGCTTGCTGCCTGAGAAGGCCTGTCTGATAACCACACCCCCACCACCTTTCTTCCCACTTGCCTATGCCTGGGGAAAAACCAATTTTCTTTTATTACAATCCACCCCACCACTGTCACCAGGACAAACTGAAATGTTCAGTAACCAACACACTAAAGTGGTTTCACAAGGGCTGTGTAAAGTATATAGATTTAAAGTACTACATGTTCATGATAAAATAAATAACGTAATGAGGACTTGCAATAAAAAGGCACAATCTCTTACCTCTTTCATCCCCATGCCTCGCCCCTCTCCCCACAGGTAATCATTTTTAATAATTTATGTCTTTTAGCTATTTGCTTTGTAATATGCTTGTGCTTACCTTTTAATTCTAATGGGGTTGTATCACTATTTCTCTTTTTATCAACTTCAAGCAATAGCTATTCACTCCCTGCTATGAATATTTAGTTCCCTTACACTTACCCCTTACACTTTATCTACCTCCCTCTTTACAACTGCTAATACTTATAGCTTAGGTTCTCTGGTTGGTTACATTTGTAGTGTTAAAAAATACAGCCAGTGTCTATTTCTCATTTCAGCAACTTTATGTATGTTCGATAAAGATATTACTGACGCTATCTTCCCTCTTCCTCCACGCCCCTGCATTCCACATCCCAATATTTGTCAGCTCTACTTATATATTTACGTGGTCAAAATTGATAACATTTATGAGCTTTTCTGTAATCATAATTAAGCCTTCTGTGGGTTTGCCTAGGGATTGACTTTAAAATTAATAACCTATAAATGGGGTTTATATGGTCATAATTATACAAATATTTTCACTTGCAGACCAATCTCTTTCTTTCCTGAGACATCACCCAGCTGTCTCTGAATTTCTGCTCCCATCCAGACAGCTTGCTCCTTAGCTGCTGCCCAGCTGCCACCCAGGAACGTCCTTCACTGCCCTGCTAGGTTAGAGCTACTGTTTACTAGATCCCGTGCCTTCCTCCTTCACGATGTTTTCTATTTTCCTGGAGTTCACTCTCAATTATCTTCTTCAGAAATATAAATGATAATTTTTTACATGTTTGACATGTTCTCTACCCTTTCTTTTTGGTGGTTTGGCTAGGTATAGCACTGTGGTCAAAATTATTTTCCCTAAGAACTTTGAAGGTATGTTCCATTGTCTTCTAGCATCCACTGTTGCTGATGAGAAGTCAAAAACTATTCTGATTCTCATTCCCCAGAAGATAACCTTTTTCTTTTTCTTTTTTTTTTTTTTTTCCTTTATTGAATCTCTTAGGAGTTTCTCTTTTTCCCTGCTGCTCTAAAGTTTCATAGGTATGTGTCTAGGCATGATCAAAAGCCAGGTTTAAGGCATTTTAATAGAAAGATCTTCTTTTTGTCTTCCCTGTTAAGAGTTAGGAAGCAGAAGCTATGTCTTAGTTTCTGACACTCACACTGATATCAGGGGAGTAATAAATCATAAATGCACATTAACATAATTTTCTCTTATCTGACAAATAGAATTTAGAGTATGGAGTTCAAATACTTATAATCAAGTTAATAAACACATCCTCTTGGGGTAATGCCAGAGTCACTAATTTTATAGTTTAAAATTAAAGCCCTGAAAGGCTATTAAAATGGAAGTTACCCATTCCTCATTCATGAGGTAGAAGAAAAAGGCTGGGTAAGAAGGAAAGAAAATGGCTAAATTTTTGACATTTTCTTAGATTTACCAAAACCCAAAAACCATTTGACTGCATTTTAAGAGAATGATGAATATAATCAAGAGAGTTTAAGGAAAAAAGAATGTAAAGAAGCATTTCCTTGGATAGATTTTGTATAAATACCTTTTCATATACCAAAGGAACCTGGGTTTTAGAACGTACAGACCTGGAGGAGAATTCTGGCTCTGCCGTTTTCTGCTTATGCGAGCTTTGAGCAAATCAATTTAATTCAATAAACATTAGTTTTCTTCCTCACCTACCTCTAACTCTATTGGTTCAACACTGAGGCTTGGGAAGATACAAATGCTCTGCACCCAGTGTGCCATGATGAGGTACAAAAGATAGGTTTGTAAAATGCAACGTAATGTTAAATTGGAAGTTTTGACTAATACACCAAGATACAACTGATGTTGCATTCCAAAGAAAGTGCTAGACTGTATGCAGAATTTCCAAAAGGAGAAATATAGAAGAACAAATTGCATAAGCCTTGAAAGACATAAAAGGGCCCTGAGGGTGGAAATAAAGGAAGGATTTTGTGAGAAGATTTTCAAAAAGAGCCTCTGAGATTCTGGGACTCCTAGTCTCCTAAGGAAGGTCAGTGAAGTTATAGAGACGTAAGTGTGTATCTCCCGCAGTTGGGGAACGAGGGACCAGCGCGTAAGCTATATCTGAAGAAGCAAGATAACAGACTACATTTCAAGTCATCACTCACGGAGGTTTGTGAACACTAAGAACACTTGATGTAGAAGGTTCAGAGTGGTTTAAAGAGGGGTCTGACTAAGCGGTGGCTTGATGGACAGAGGAGACACATGGTAATTGTCTCCTATTTAAAACACAACTATCTTGAGCTATATCCTGCTGATTTGCACAATTCTCTTTTTCAGCATATATTTCTATCCTGCCCAGAGTGAACTTTGTGATTCTACGTTCACAATATATCTGCAACAGTTCTAAGTTATCATCTAACTCAAAAGAGTAGCTAACATTCATTGAGAACATTCTATGTGTCAGGCACTGTGCTAAGTGCTTGATACCTATTAACACAACAGCCCTAGGAAGTAGGCATCTTTACTGCCATCTCCATAATGAAACTGAGGCACACAGAGGATAACACCCACAAATTCATATCTTGGAAGTGGCGGAGATTGGGTTCAACCCAAGAGATCCAGCTCTAAGGCCCGAACTTATAACCATTATGATATCCCCTCTCTAAAGTCTTGGCAAGAGCAGTTCCAAAGAAATAAGTCCCTTTCCTTCTATTTTCTGCAAATGTGGCATTTTGACCATTCCGACTAATATTTTTAAGCGTGCAGAAGTGTTCGTGCTGATTTGGAGAGCTCCTACAAAAGAAATAAAAAGTAAAGTTCAAAACTCACAGAATTACTTTTCAAAATTAAGGTTGCATAAGAATGAATAGAAGAGGAAATAAATGAGTAAATTCGGTACTTGGTGTCCAAAAATAGCCATTCATCAGGACATGTCAACAACACCCAACCTAAGTTTGATGAGTCCAATATTTTCAGGACTAGCAGAACTTCTTGTGACCTGTATAACTGAGCAGAACTTCTTGGTTAAGACGGGCCTGGGGCTGGACCTCAGCTCTCAAGGATAAATTTCTTCATTCCACAGTTCTTCCGGGTCACTGTCAAAACCACTGGTAATTTTACACTGCAGTGATCTCTGCCTTTTCCTGGCCTGAGGATAAATAGAAAACTTAACAGTTCTGAGAGCTGTTGACACCATGTACTCAGAAACACAATCAGAAAATGTTAAAGGAAACGTTTGAAGGATGTGAATGAAAGATGTGGACATTCGTACGTGGAAACTCCCCCAAGTGATGCCAGCTTTGTCCCCCAGCTCTGTAGCCAAAAAATGAGTAGGTCAGAGAGGGTGCAGGGTGCATGCCTCAGGCTTTAACAGAACCCAGTAAGGGGTGAACATTCCTAACAAGGTTTTGAATGACCATTCACTGGACACCAGAGGATTCTAGGGTGCTCAAGAAAAAGGTTACGATGATACAAGGGAGGCCAGTGGGAGTATTGGGAAAATCCAGTTCCCCCCCAACCACTACCAAATGTAGTTGTTTGCTCTCTTATTGGACAAACACACCTTGATACATTATTTTAAGTCATTTTCCCCTTCAAGTATCTAGTCCGCCCAATCTAAGCTCACACACCTAAAGAAAAACTAGGGGGTAGAATGCATTTTCTGAACCCTACAATTGGATACTTAGTGTGACAACAGGAAGAATGTTTGAACTGAGAACAGTTATAGTACTTTCTGATCTCTGTCAAGATGAGCGATAAGGAAAAGTGGAGAAAAGGGAAGGAGTGGCTGGAGGTAGAAAGAAAGTGAGCTATGAATCGCTGCCTTGAAACATGCACCAGACACACACACAGGAGGGCTCAGATCGAAAGCCCCTCCAGCTCTGGATCCCACTCCAGGACCCAAGCAAAGCCCCAGAGTCTTCTCTTTAAGTATGATGAAAGATGTTTTTAGATTTTCCTCTCACAAATACGAGAGTCTCGCAATATTTCCCTTCTTATCTGCCAGGGATAGATGCAGACAGCTTCGTTCTCAGTTTAATTACTCTTCACTCAATATAAATGGCGTTTGTTCTTTCATTCACTCACTCAATATATAAACACCAAATGCTAATCTAGGTACAGGAGATTCACGGATAATTAAGCCATTGTCCTAGTCCATGGAAAAATGAAGAACATAAAATGTGTCATATGTGAAGGCAATAACGGAAGTATGTGCATGATATAGTGACTGCGGAGAGGACAAGGTGATTAAATAGAGGGGATGGAATTTGGGACTCAAAGTATTCTGGTAAATAATGACCTAGAAGGAAGAAGAGGAAGGGCCTAGGGCTCTTCCATCATTAAAACAAAGATTTAGGACTTTGTGCATGCCCATCTGAGCCCTCATCCTGCCATCGACATGAGTTTTATAGGCCTTCCTCCAAACCCTTGAATTCAGATGCTATGTGAGTCTCAGAAACAGAAAAAGGGGCTGTTTAACCTATTTTTTAGAATTAAAAAAATCAACAGTGGGACGATGGGCAATGGCCTATGACCAGTCCTCGTGTTCGGCTCAAGTGCAAGGGAACACATTGTGCAGGTGGAGAACAATCCAGCTGCTGAGGGGCCCATCCTGGAGGTGGAGAGGCCGTGAGGGAGCACTGCTGGGCTGGCGATGGGTGTACTGAACTCAGCTCCACAGCAGGCAGAGCCACAGAGAGGGCTCTCCTGAGGCAGCTGAAAAGGCGTGATTAAGAGGCAGCATAAGCCGCATGGATCCTGTCCTAGCATTATGATCTCTGAAGATAATGATGGTGAACGAAATGACGAATGAGCTGTGATATTCCTACAAAATCCTCCTGTCCTCTCTTGCCTTCTTTTCTTCTGCTATTCTCTTTCCTGTCTCCAAATCCATTTCTCTAACTCTTGGATGATTCAAACCCCTTTCCTAGAAAGACAACCTGAAAATGCCCTCCACATCGGCTCTGAGCCACCTGGAGCCTGTCTCCCTGGCTGACGAGGAGGCCCGTCTCAGCTGCCACGAGCCACTTTTACCTGGAGTATTTGGCAGTTCTGTGTTTTGTTCCGATGATTGTTAGCTCTTCTGGTTCATTGGTGTTGGAAATAAATCACATCTAACTTCTTTTGTACTAAAATTAACTGTCTCCTTGGACTGATTATCTTGCCCTTGGTCTCGGCGCAGTTGCACCCACCGGATCTCCAGCATACCTGGCAGCCCGCGCGGTTCACAGAGGTTACATGAGTAGGGAGAGAGGCTGGCTTTCCTAGGCTCCGGTCGGGGAGTCTTGTCTACTCCTGAAGACAGCAGAAGTGCTTTAGCAAAGTTCAGAAGCCAAAGCAAGAAACAGAAGCCATCTCACATGTATGCATAACAGAGGCTCTGGTGGGACAGGAAATGAGAGCATGTTGAACGTGTCCATCCATCTGGTTACCAAATAGGTTGTTTTCTCAGCAATATATTATAATTCCCCTTTGGAACTTGTCAGAATTATTTTTTTCCTGATAAAATTCTTTTCCTTGAAGAAGAAAGAGTTAGCACAATTCAAGAACACAATAGAAAAAATAAATCTTATTTTTAAACCTGGTAAACAGATACGAGGCTTTACCACAGTTTAAGGCATAAGCAAAGGTTCTTTTTCAAGGGTAGGGAAGGTAGTCCTCAAAGAGAGAAAAATAGTTCAATGGCCTTGACAGGGGAGGAAGTGAAACAGGAGGGGTGTCAAGAGACAAGCAGCTGGTCCATCCCTAATTTTAAGTACTGACTCTGACTAATCTAAGCCGATGTGCACTGCTTACCTCTCGAAGTTGTCACCTTCACTTGCAGAGGCAAGGACGGCCATGTGCTGACTTGAAATCCTCCCCTCCCCATTTCCAATACCATCTGGATGCTCCTCCAACCTCTCAGACTTCTCCCAACTCATTCTCTGGCTCTTTCTGTACTTCCCGGATTCTAAATGTGCGCTCTCAAATTGAATTCAGTATAACCAAAATTCCAGAACCATTAAAAAACTTAAACACTTGCTTCTCTTCCTGATTTACTGATTCCTATCAACAGCAGCATCATTCTGCTACATGGATATGCTTAAGACCTGAGCAACAAGCATCACCCACCACCCTGCACAGCACTAATTCAGCACCGTCTTTCTCACCACCCTCTCCTGCCCAATATACCATCAATGACTCCTCCTCAGCGCTTACATGACAATGTCCCAATTACTCCTTTATGAGGCCACAGCCTAGCCAGATGTTAAGGGGCCTCTATCTGTAAGCTAGCCTCGAACTCCTAAAGGAAGCCATGCCTTTCTCCCAAAATCAACTACCCGTTTCTACCTCCAAGTCTTTGTACCCTCCCCCTTAAATGCCTCATCCTTCTCTCCATGTATTTAAACTGTTCCCATTTATCATACTTTGTCTCAAGACCCATCTCATCTGTGAAACCTTTGGGGCCACCCAAGTTCACGGCCTCCTCCCCTGAGTCTCTATGGCAATGAGAGTCTGCACTACTCATTTGACACTTATCATTTATTCTCTTATATTGCCATTAATCCAGCAGACATTTTTGAGCACCTACTATCTCCCCTCTGATGGGCTTTGTGATATTTTCTAATAATAAAATGTTACAAGAGACAAGAAGTACGGAGGAGAGAAAAGATGGGCAGAACAAGCAGGTCCAAGAGAAGGAATCTTTTAAATAAAAGAGATGTGACGACATCCTACACCATAGGAAGGAGGAGGAGTTGTTAGGTTATCTCTGAGCTCCAGGCCCCCACTTTCATTCTCCACTTCGTGGTGCTGGGCTGGAACCCTGCAAACATCGTTTTTGCTTTGCCAGCTGACTTCCTGTAAAGTTGTTCATTGGGAGTGCTAGAAGAAGACAAAGGCTGGAGGGGGAGCAAGGACTTGCTCCTTCCTGTCTGCTACCTGTTGCCTCCCGTGGGTTTCCTGTCTGTTTGTTGTTCCCCTGAGCATCAACCCAGAAATATTTCTTCGTCTCAACAGTGGCAGTTCTTTCAGGTAGCAGCAACTGAATCCCGTTTGCAGTTTTTCTAATTCACAGAACCAGACTCTCTACATCTCCTTTCCCCCATCCCAAGACATCACTACATGCCAGCCAGCAGTTGCTTTCCTCCTCAGAGTCTGGGTTCCAGCCTTTTTCTAACACAGAGACACCGGTACCAGCCCAGCATCACCTTCCCTCAGAGGTCTGACTTTCACCTCCATGGGGCTTCTCCTTTAATCTTCTAAGTTTTAATGATTACAATCTCTTCTCTTTGTTCTCTCAGCCCTAAGAGTGACAGATGCTTCCTACTTTCATGATATCTTAGAGTCCCCTTTGTACCCTTTCAGTTACCTAGGTAACACTTTTTTATATTAAATTCTCTCTATTCAATAACTGCTATCGTTTCCATCTCCTGATTGGACCCTGACTGATATAGAAGGAACTAGTTTAGGGGCATAGATTAAAATAATGCAAAGTGGTATCACTAACAAGCCAACAGACAAGTTAAATACTCAAACAATTCAAAAGAAAGAAGGAAAGAGAATGAGAGGAATAAAATTCAGAGGGGACAAACTAAATCCAATCATATCACTAATTACATTAAGTGTTAAAGACTAAATTGCCCAATGAAAATTCAGAAATGATCAGAATTCATTTTTGAAACAAAAGATCCTATAATATTCAGACTACAAGAGACACACTTTAATTATGATGATATATAGGTTGAAAGTAAATGGATGAAAAAAGATATATAATGCAAACAGTAAGCATAGAAAGGTTGCAGTGGCTATATTAATAACAGATAAAACAGACAACATCGCAAAGAGTATAACAAAGACAAACATGAACTTTTTTTTTGGAGGAAGATTAGCCCTGAGCTAACATCTGTTGCCAATCCACCTCTTCTTGCTGAGGAGGACTGGCCCTGAGCTAACATCCGTGCCCATCTTCCTCTACTTTATATGTGGGATGCCTGCCACAGCATGGCTTGATGAGCCGTGCATAGCTCCACACTCAGGATCTGAACCAGCAAATCCTAGGATGCCAAAGTGGAATGTGTGAACTTAACTGCTGTGCCATCTGACTGGGCCCAAAACATGGACATTTTTATCATGATTAAAGAGTAAATTCACCAGAAAAATATAACAATCACAAATTTTTATGTATACCATAACAGAGCATCAAAATACAAGAAGCAAAAATTGACAGAATTAAAGGGAGAAATCTATAATCCACAATCACAGTGGGAGATTTAAACACTCCTCTCTCAACAATTTATAGAACAACTAGAAAAAAAAATCATTATATGCATAGAGGATCTGAATAACACTATCAACATGACCTAATTGATATTTATAAATATTTATCCAACATCCAACAATTTCTTTCAAGTGCAATTGGATATTCACTAAGATAGAACATATGCTAGGCCATAAAATAAGTCCAAAAATTTTAAAAATTGAAAACCAGGATAAAACAGGAGGATTAAACAACCAACGTGCAATGTGAACTCAGCCCCAGAAATTAAAACAATAAAGACACCACCATCACCAACATCACCAACCATCCCCCTGATAAAAAAATTCACCCCAAAGTACATTACTGTAAAGTTCAGAATACATGGGATATTGTGGGATATAGGATTAAGGAGCAGATCACAAAAGCTACCAGATGGGAAAAACTAGGCCCCTCACAAAGAAACCAATCCAATTGGTCTCAGACTCATCAATAGCAACACCAGATGTTGGAAGAGTGGAATAATATCTTCAAAACTTTAAGTGACAATGATTTTCAATCTAGAATTCTACTCCCCTCCTGTCAGTCACACAGAGGTAGAATAAAGATATTTTAGACATGCAAGAACTAAAACACAATGTTTTAGAAAGTTATCAGAAAGCATGCGTCAACAAAACAAAAAATAAACCAAAAAAAGAAAGACATGAAATCCAGAAAACAGACCAGAAGAGAGGCAAAAGCATCATATAATGACCTCTGTGCAATCTTCCAGAAAGAAGAAAGTCCACTTTGCAGCAGAAGAAGAAAATATCTGGGAGAAATTCTCTAGAAAAATTAGAGCTGCTCCACATGAGTCCATGGTCAAAAGTTTTTACTTATAGTAGATATTAGAACATTTGGAAAATTAATCATAAGTACATAGAAAGAGGCATAAGAGAAAAAATGGAGCAATTGTCATTTCCAGGAGAAATAAAGGGCAGGACAAGAAAGGAAAGACAGTTATAATTCACTATGTGTCTCCCATCATTGGACAATATTTGTATGTGCGTAATAAAGAGAATAAATGGTTTTATTTAAACAAATATATGGAAGCAGAAAAAAGAAGATATAGAAAAGTTAAGTTTTTATCTACGATGGAAAAAATACAATAAAATATTACTAAAATTTATCAGTCAAAAAATAAGCATATTATTAGATTAAATGAGTTAGCATTTAGAACAGTGACTGTTACATGGTAAGCAGTGTCAGCTATTATTAGAAATATGAAATTAAATATCAGGGGAAAGAGCTAGAAGAATTGAGAGTGGTTGTCTCTTGCGCACAGGATTCAGAGTAAGGAAGAAAACTACTCTGGTTCATTATGAGCTTTTTAGTACTATACTTTTAAAATAATATACATGTATTGCTTTAATAAAAATTAAATTAATAATAAAACAGCTATATTACAGAATAAAATATAAACATAAAAATGTTAAGGTATCGTAAATAGGGAAGTAAAAAGTAATTTATAGGCATGGTAAATGTAAATTTTAAGGAAGAAAGCATGCATTGTAAAAAAAAAAAAGACATATTAAGCTCTTTCACACACTATTGAGTTAAAAAATAAATTAATTAAAAAATCACTCACACTCAAAAACAAGAAGAAACATATTCCATAAACAAACAAAAAAACCTGAGAGGTCTCCCTAAAAAGAAATATTGAAAATGAGAGAAACAGATGGGAAACCAGGGTGTCAAGTGAAGAATAAAGCTGACTATCCAATGCATACATGGGTGCCAGCCACTCACGGGAAGCCAGAAGTCAGGATGGTGCTCTACAGTCATTAATGGCTACCAAAATATCTCCACCTGTCAGCCCAAGGTGATCAAAATATCTCCACCCATCAGCCAAAAAGAAGTCGCCTGCCATACACAGGGGTAAACACTGAGTTCTTATATTAGAACTAGGACCCTAGTCCATACCGCATTCAGGGGAAGGGCCCAGAATTGCACCATTCCTGCAAAGCGACAGACTCAATCATGTCGCAGATATAAGCCCTGGTCAGAACCAGGCCATAGAGCTGAGGCAGAAGCAACCAGGAAACCATCCCCATAAGGAGGATGATAGGTCCCAAGGAAATGAAAAGATGTGTTCACAAACAAAATTAAAAAGTGGATTTTTAAAAATCCATATCAAGGAGAGAAAGCCAATAAACCAGAAAATGGAAAAGTTAAACCCATGAAAATAGAGATATTTGAGCAATATGAAAAGGACATTAAAATGAGTACTTTTTAAATACTCAAAGAGATAAGAGGAGGAATGGCATCCACCGTAGAAGACCAGGAAGTAATAAAATGAAAAATATCCTGGAAATGAAATATATTTATGAAATAAAAAATTTGATTAGACATAGGGAAACTGCTAGAGAGAACTGAAGTAATTACCTAAAACACTATCAGAAAAGACAAAAAGCTGGAGATAAAAGGAAAATTTACAAGACATAGAACACAGAGAAACGATTAAAAAGCTCCAACATAACACTAGTTCATAAGAAGAGACTGGAAAGAATGGAGGGAAGATTAGGTTACAGAGAGAGAGTAACAGAATTTTCCAGAACTGAAGAGTCATGAGTTCTGGGACTGATAGCCCAAGTGCCAAGAAGAGAAAAGATTTAAAAATCCACACCTAGATGCATCACAATGAAAGTGCTTAATATCAAGATTAAAGAGAACTTAAAAGAATCAGAGATAAAAGAAAGACAACCTATAAAAGAATGATAGGTATATTGACAGTGGACTTCTCATTAGCAACAACGGCTATAAGAAGTCTACAGAATAATTTTCAAAGCATCAAGGAAAAATAATATGAGTCTGAGTCTGGAATTCTATACAAACTACCATTCCACAGGTGAGATTCCGAAAATTATTGACCACAAGCTCTGTCTTTAAAAAACAAACAAGCGAAGAAAAAAAAAACTACTAAAAGATGTATTCAGTAAGGGAAAAAAATTAACCTTGAAGGAAGAAACAAAAATGTGGAAAAAAAATTGTAAAATATGTCAGTAAATCTAAATAAATATTGATTATAAATAATAATAAAATAAGTCCTGTGTTTATAAACAAGGCATAACTTCAATACTAGATCATTCTAATACAAGATCAGTGGAAGTTTACTCAGATGAAAGTTAAAGCTTCTAGGAGGAGGAGAATGATGGAGATACTGATTAACTTTAAGCTTTGATGGGAAGATGTAAATTTGAGTACATATGTTAAGTCTAGGAAAATTCATTCAAAAAAAACAACAGTAAGTATAAGTTCCAAATGAACAGAAGAAAAACAAGTAAAGAAAAAATTCAACCAACTCATACAACAAGAAAGCATGAAAGCAGAAAAGATAAAAAGCATAGTAAATAGGAAACATAAAATAAAGTCGCAGAATTCAGTCTTAATAAGTGTAGATAAACTCTCTAGTTGTATTTTTAAAAACAAACCAGGGAGTAGTCTCTCTGAGACAAGGGAGAACCAGCGAGAAATACAGTTGAAATGGTCGGAGGAAAACTGAAGAACTTCTGGTAAGAAAGCCTCTATTTTCTTACTAAAATGTAATAAAGAGTGAGAGGGAGAGAAGTTGGTTGAGACTTGAGAGCTGCAGTGATCTCATCAAAGATTTTGGTTCAAAAGTAATAGAAATCCACTGTAGGTACCTCAAGCAAAGTACAGTCTATTTAAACAACACAGGAACAATTTTTCAAAAGAAAATCTGATTGGCCAACAGTCAGTCAAGAGATTGGCTCCCTGGGATTCAGTATCAGGTGTCCACCCTTCATCCAAACATCTGTGTCAGGATTGGGATGTCAATGGGTTACACACTGAAAAATATAGCTATCTAGAGGCCAGCTCCCAGGTGTTAGGCATGGCCACCAAACCTGTCCCTACAAACAAGCGTAGCTCGAAACTGTGAGTCAGGAAGGAAGGTGAAAGTAAGTGTAGGAGAGTTGAGGAAAAAGCCAATACAGAGCGCTCAACGTAAAACCAGATACTGTAAGTGATAAGTGGAATTATTAGCCAGGGTTGTTCCATTTTCTCCAGCCGGTGAAGAGAATGGATCGTGTTGAAGATTGGGAGTGGAACGGGATTAGCAAGGTTGGTAAGAGAAATTCCCATGGGATTCTGACTAGGTGGGGTGGGAAGTAAAGCCCAGAGAGGGCTGAGGACTGAGAGGGTAGGAAGGGTCGAGTAATGGATGTCTCACTAAGGCTTTGAAGGAGGGAGGGAAAGGACGAGGTGGAAGAGTAAGAGATGGTGACTAGGAACAAGAATGTACCTGCTGGAAGCTTCAAAGGCGGAGCAGTTTGGGGTGTAACAGGAGAAAAAGCCGGTCTGGGTGGAAGAGTGAAAGTTGTTAGAGCAGAGGAAGTCAAAGACCTCGCAATCATCAGTGCTGAC